AGGGTGCTGAGCCCCAAGGCGGTGAGCGAAGCCCATGACCTCTTCAACACCCTCCTGGCCTCCACCCGTGCTTTTCAGGGGGCCAAGGAACCACCAGTGGCAAGCGTGGGACAGTACCTGCGGGCAGAGATCGCTCGGAGGGTCCCTGTTTTGGGAGGGGGCGAGGAGGATGCCCAGCAGCTCCAGCTGGCCATTCTGGCTGCCTGCCTCAAGCTGGAGTGTTGCATCAGCGGGACCCACAGCATGGACCTGGTGGCCCTGGAGCCCTTTGGGGAGTACGTCTCCCTGCCTGGCCTGGACTGCACCTTCCCAGGGTAAGTGGAGGGCTCTGGATGGGGACATGGAAGAGAGTTTTTTTTTTTTAACCCCACCCCCAGCAGCACTCCCTCCTGCAGCGGCTACAGCAGCTTGCCCAATCACATGCTGTCGTCTCTGCCGGAGGGCATCGTCCTGCTCAACAAGGCGGTGAGGACCATCCGGTGGAAAGGGTCCTTCCGTGAGAAAGGGGAAGAGGCCAGGGATTTTCCCGTCCGGGTGGAGTGCGAGGATGGAGACGCCTTCCTTGCCGACCACGTCATCGTCACCGTCCCACTGGGTGAGGACTGCAACACCTTTCCTTGCCTTCCCTGTCCCCTCTGACCGGTTGGCGTCGTTGGAGATAGGCATATGGAGGGCAGGGACTTGCCCAAACACCTTCCCAGCCCCCCTTCTCCCACCGCGGTGGAAGAGGGGAGGCTGGGAAGGGGTTTGGAGAGGGGCAAGTGTCTCAGACCCCATTTAGGAGCCCAGCGAACAGAGCTGCCCCATCTTCTGCCTGCAGGTTTCCTCAAGGAACACCACCAGGATTTCTTCCAGCCTCCCCTGCCGGAGCGGAAAGCGGAGGCCATTCGCCGCCTGGGTTTCGGCACCAACAACAAGATCTTCCTGGAGTTCGAGCAACCTTTTTGGGAACCCCAGCAGCAGCTCCTCGAAGCAGTGTGGGAGGACGAGTCACCCCTCGAGGAACCCAGAGCCGACCTGGAGGCCAACTGGTTCAAGAAGCTCATCGGATTTGTGGTCCTCCAACCGCCAGAGCAGTACGTGGCCGGGAACGTTGGCAAAGGGGCATCGCAGCCGGGCGGGCATTGGGCTTCTTCCAGCCAACGTGAAGGAGCATTTTGGTCCTGTCTGGAGCTTCAACACCTTCTCCGGGTCGCTGGTGGCCCATGATGCAGCAGCACTCCCGGGACAGGGAGGGCACAGTTCCCGGTGAGCAGTGGGAGGGCAGCAGGCAGCTCTCAGCCCCATCTTTCCTCTCCAGGCACGGGCACGTCCTCTGTGGCTTCATCGCAGGGAAGGAGTCGGAGTACATGGAAACGCTGAGCGACGCGGAGGTTCTTGGCACCATGACGCGCGTCCTCCGCACGCTGACAGGTACCGGCGCCTCCTCCGCCCTCATCACCCCAACCCCCGGGGAAACGTGCACCCAGATTTCTGGATCCCACCCAAAATCCACGCCCACAGGGAACCTACACCTGCCCGCTCCCAGGAGCATGCTCAGGTCCCGGTGGCACAGCGCTCCGTACACCCGCGGCTCCTACAGCTATGTGGCTGTTGGCAGCTCGGGTGACGACATCGATGTGCTGGCTCAGCCCCTGCCCGAGGACCCCAAGGACCCCAGGGTAATTGCTTTTTGCTCTGGGGGATGCAGCAAGCGTGGGGCAAGCGGGACCCCCCGGGTGCGGGGACAGACGGACGGGGGTGGAAACAGGATGCTCCAGACCTTGAGGAGCACAGGGAGGTGGCATTCTCCACTCCTGCTCCATTTGGGGGTCATTGATGCTCAGGTCACTAACCAACCCCCCCGGCTCTTCCCACTGAGCTCTATGAGGGTGGGGGGAACCCCATTCCCATAAAATCTAGTGACACATAGCGCCTTCCAACTACTTTCCGGCATCCTGATGGCATGGGGTGGGTCTGTAAGGAAGGGAAGGCACCCGCTCCCTGCTCTCCACATGGATGCAGAGCGAGTCACACATCCGCGGTGTGCCAAAGGGCAGGGAGATGAGGCTGGTTTAGCATGACCCTGTGTCCCCGCTGGGCCGGGGGAGAGGGCAGGCCCCTGGCGCTCACCTCCCGCCTCGCCGCAGCCTCTGCA